GAAAGCATAGAAGAAGTGGCTACTCTTAGGAGCAATACGAATGACAACGTTGTGCAAAGATTCCAGTGCACTTGTTTGCTCCAGAGGCTATAGCCGGGCAATATCATTGACAAGTCTTGTTTTTGTAAGAACAGCCTTAAGCTCTTTGTATCCTTTTTGTCCTACAAATTAAAATAATTTCAGTTACTTGTCTTAATGCTGCACATGGATGAATAAAGTAAAGAAATAACAATGAATGATTTGTCAATGTTTAAAATGGCATACTCACATGCTTTGGACGTTTAAAACAACAAATTATTCAGAAACTCGTCCGCAGAGGCATTAGGCCCAAGATACCAAGAAGAAAAGCCCCCTCTGCCCTCAGACGCACCAGCAGATCCTCGTTTACCTTCACGATTCTGAAGACCCAGGTCAATAGCACATCAACTGAAAATGCCCATCACAATTACTTCGGGCTCAGGTGGTACTTTGGTTAACCACAGCCTGGTCTAATTTGGGGCCCTGGCAGAATTCTTGTCTTTACGAAGGCTAGTTTTCCTCAAATTCATTGGGGCTTAAACATAATTCTTGTCTTTACCAAAGCTAATCTATGTACAATACCGTAGGGCTACTGGCAAGCCCACATAGCGGGCTTCATGAGGGAGCTAGTCTTCTGCTATTTAGAAGATTGTCATCAAAGCATGGGCGGGGGCCTATCACAGACCCACTCCTTTCACCAGAGTTATTTCTAATGCTGTTCTAATTTCTAATGTACTCAGACTGACAGAGAATATGTTACCTTCTCTTCCAGATGCAACATCAAACATCTATTCTTGCACTGTAACTTACCAAATTGATTCCCGTTGTAAGAACATGTGACAGAATTAGCAGATTTCAGAGCCAACGGAAGTTGGCTGATTGAATGCTTTGGCGTTTCAACAACTTAGTTGACAGATTTTGTACTCATTGATAATGTATTACAAAGTAATCTGTTGTCTGTGGTCAATGTATTTGGCATGCTGATAATGTGTTCTTCGGCTACCTGCTGTTCAATTTTGACAGGGCCGTCGAGAGACGGGCCGGGCCCCAGGGCTGGGACTGTCATGGGGCCCCACCGTCGAAGGCTGCAAAAACCTTTTTTGGATTACGCCCTTAGCAATGCAGTTAGATGGACTGTAAAAGGCATGAATTTTGAAATCAACGCCCCTGGAACACTTGAATTTGTATTTTAAGGCCTTTAACAGAACATGTAATCAGTGACTATATAAAAAAAATCATTAAAACAAATCAGTTTAAAAATCAGAGTTAATTTAATGTTTGAAAAACTGCTTTTCTTGCTTTCCTCATGGCGAAATCCTTAATCTTTTCCCACAATCTTTTCCAGCTGTCGTTCGCTCCCCAATCATCAGGAGAAGCCAATTTTGATTTTGAACCATTATTAATAGTGTGCTCAAAGAACCTGCATGGCAAACAATAGAGTGCAGCCTTTGTAGGACTGAAAACAAGCCAGCTTCTTACTTCCCCATTTTGCTGCTTCACATTTAGGACCGTTATTGGAAATTTGTGGCCGTCGCAATCTTTGAGAAACTTTGGAGAATGAGGCAAATGACCAATTCTAACAACCTTTTCTAACTCCTTTTTCGTTGGAAATCCGGTCAATGTGCCGACATCAAAACTAGATGATCCACTATGAACAGTATTTTGATTTAATGACAAATCGGTAGTGCTTTCTCTACTTTCTGTGGTGTCATGGTCTACCGAAGCAGCCAAGCCGTCTGTGTCTTCTTCTTCTTCAGCAATGCTTTCACCAGGTTTATTTAAAGTTGAATCACCTTCCTTGTCTCTTTTGTAAGCACCTACCTCAAACAATGTGCGAGAGGCCTTCTTTGCTTCTTTTTCTCGTATCTTTTTTTCCTGCCTTTTCTGAGCACCAGACTTGTGCCTGTAAGATGACATCGCAGGGGTTGCTTGGATCGTGATCCCATTTAGTGATTTTGATAAAGACTTTTATAGCGTTTGGATTTGTCTTGGTTCTTCGCATGTGCTTTCTCTCTGGTCTACACCGTGAATGGAAGATTTACTTTTACGTTTATAGGAAGTACACACAAGGAATAACTAAAACATCTGACCTAAACATGGGCTCCGACAAAGGTTGAAAAGTGGGGGGCCAAGGAAAAATTTAACACCGAAAACAAAAGATTTTGAAAAAAACTCTATTGTTTTGCAAAAAAATGGGGGGGGCCAAGGCTCCCCTGACCCCCCTCCTTCGTTGGAGGCCCTGCTAAAAGTAGATATATGTAAGTGCAATCGAATTTTTCGGCTTCCGGAGAAGTATATTATGATCGTATCGGCAATGTTTTATTTATAAACCATAACAAGAAAAGGCCCTCGTCATAGACCAGCTTGTTGATCCCATGTTGAAAGATTAAATTTCGAATATCAATCGGGTCATGGGCCCGCCCTGCCAATGCTGCTAATTGAAAACTCATAGCCAAAAATACATACCTTATTTTCTACGGGCCCCTTAAGGCCCCGGGCCCCCTGGTAACTACCCTGGTTACCCCCCCCCCTCTCGACGGTCCTGAATTTTGATAAGATATATAGCGTACTGGTATTACAGGAAACCTGGAAAAGGGCAAAAAGGTTATATTTGAAGAATAGGAAAAACAAATGTTTTTATGACCAAACAACTTTTAAACAGGCTAGAATTATGATATTTTGCCTGAAAAAGCTGGCAAGCCTGGACACAATAAGTAATTTTCAATTGTATATAGTTTGCTTTTCAATATTTTCTTAGAAAAAGCGTTTGCCTTTCAAACCGCTTGAAAAATTGTGCATAAAAGTCACCATGATGATGTTTCGATGTTACTAAATTTAAAGGCATTGAGTCATGATAAATAGACTGGGTATACCCTAAGTGCCAAAATCCGCTGAGTCATGATTTCCATGACTGCGATGCTTTTGGTTGACCTTGAACTGGTCACATGAACTCACCTCGTACTGATTAACATAACAGTTTCCATCAATAGCAAGTTGTCAACAACGGATGCCAATATCACATGAAACAGCAGCGATCACGCTGAAATCAAATGACCCCCTATAGAGAAAGCCTATTTACCATGACTCAATGCCTTTAAGCATTGTTAATAAATGTTTTAATTTTAAGCAACGGTCCTGCAAGAAGTAATTATGATAAAATTTCATCATGATAAAATGTTCAATTTTCCACTCATGATTCGATGTTATCTAAAGATACAAATGTTACATGAAGGAGATCGACCAGAAAAGTTTTTGTAAATGTTTTATTGGTTGCCATGCGCTAAATCTACGGAAAGGATTGTTGCCTTTCAAGAACTTAAATAGTGTGTTGAAGTGTCACCATGTTTGAACTCGGATTTTCAATTTCAGTATTGTTACTATCTGCTAAATTTTCCATTGTGAGCTTCAAAAGTGCATCTACCTAATAAACAAATAGAAAAATTTGTAAATATTTTGTTTCAATGTTTAGATATTTCAATACTGTTGCTTATTGTTGTTTTCTAGAGACGGTTTGTTAAATTGTGCACCAAAGTCATCATGTTGATGTCTTGGCGTTGAATTTTAAGTAATGACTCCTTAGTTAGTGAGGTTGGGTTTCATTGTTTTATTTTTTTTCATACTATTGCCCAACATGTAAAGTAATATTATACTATAGAAGCTAAAATTTGGTATAATACATTGTTTTGATAGATGTGAAACCCCCTGAATGTCTTGTAGCAGAAATGGTTGATAAGGAGAGAAAACATTCAGGTTTATTTCAATTCCTTTTTCTATATAAATGAAAACAATTTCAACTGTCATAAAAACATAATATCCAACAAACAACTAGTTTTTAAATGTTATAAAGTTATTTGACCATGGTATATTTATTGTGAGATTAATGGAAAATTCTGGGTACTATGTTCTAATAATGTAGGTGTAACAGTTATGCGCACACATACCTTTTCATAGATGACAACCTTTTCATAGATAAAGGTTTTGAGAAGTTGTTCACCATCAAAACTAAACACTACCAGTTGAACAGTTTCAAAGAGATCTTTCAGTTGGTATCATTCAGTTCTATGTAGACAGTGTTTTTTAGAGCAAAATCATTAAAATAATGAACAATGTCGCCACTATACATCACAGCCATGCCTAATTTCAATCAAAACCACACCAGTATATGCCCCTGTATAGACCCTTGAAAATAACCCTTTAGCCCTTAATTCTATCTATAGTATATGTGAGTTATGATATTAAAGCCCAGAAATTAAAATGCACAATGGATGACAGTGATTTCTGAAGCAAGCCACTTTTCTATTGCAAACCTCAACTAATCTTCAATTTTACAATATTTGTTAATTAAAATTGAAAATTTGTTCATAGATATTGCCTTAATAAGCAACTGCAAGAAGAACTAAACTTTAATCAGGTCCCAAAGTTGTCTACATTATTTGGTTGGAAATAAAATTGTGTTTAAGAAGTTAGATACAGAAAGAGCCAAAAAGTTTTTTTAAATCCTCTGTTATTATTTAAAACATCGCAAGAAAAAAATTTTAATATGTCAAAATTAAAAGACAAAAAAACCTAAATATGGACACTATGTGGAGACTGGTATAGGCAACTGGAAAGCATGATTAAAATTAATTTAGAAATAATTAAGACATTTTTGTAGAAAGAATTATAATTCCAGCGAAACCAGTTAGGTATTTATTTTGTTTTCCCATTCTATCAACATATCAAACAACCAAAAATAAGAATTTAATTCAAGCAAATATACAACTAGGAACATTGAATAAACTAACAAACAGAAATTGATGAAATTTTTGTTGTGTGTAAGTAATTATAGAGAATTTTAAAGCAATCCTTTTTTGCTCTTTCTGTATCTAACTTCTTACACACAATATAATTCTCTAACTGAATTATCTAGACAACTTTGGGTCCTGATTAGAATTCAGTTCTTCTTGCAGCTATTTATAAAGGCAATAATTTTCAATTTTAAGTTACACATATAATGAAATAGAAGATTGGTCAAGGTAGCTGTCTAAAAGGGCATTGCCGTCCATCTTGAGATTTAGTTTCAAAGCTTTATTGTCATAACTGACAAATACAATGATAAGTACATTGGTGTTTGAGACGAGTTCATACTCAATTGTACCTGTCTCCAAACGGCTTTTTGCTTCAATGTTCATTTTAGAGAAGTGATGCACCGTTTCTCCTCCAATAAGGTAGGCTGCTGCACCTGTTGTTGCCAGCTTCCTAGCATTCAGATGAAGCACACTGGTAGCATGTTCCATTATACCCTTCAGAAGGTATGACTTGCCAGTACCAGCTTCTCCCACAATGGTAGTCAACAGTTGTTTACCTGTCGAGAGGAACTGTGTAATATAATCATAAGCAAGCCTCTGTGAAAGTGACAAATTCTGCAAGAGTCTGCTCAAATTCTGGCAGGTCAATGCGATTGTCATTGACTCTTAAGTTACCTAGATCTGCATGATTTAGATTGAAGTCAGCATCAGTGACTTCTTCTTCATCTTCGACTGCATCGGCTCGATAGGCAGTTGTTACCTCATCAATGAACGTATTGAATTCCTCTTCACCGATCCAGTCCATCTCCCGTAAGGATTGTGCCATCTTGGGCAGACAAGCGAGTGAGAACCTTCTTTGCCTTGCATCCTGGAGGGCAGTCATGGCGTCGTCTTGCTCTTCAATCAGGTTACGAATGGCACATTCTTCCATGTACGTTTTTGACACGTCGTTTGGAGAAATGACAGGCGTTTCTTTCCTCAAAGGCAGATTTAACACCAGCTTCTGCATGTAGTAGTTTTCCTGGTTTTCACCATTCAGAAGGTATAATCTCCACCGGGCAACAGCTTCAACCTTGCGCTGTTTCCATCTTCTACCCATTCGGTCAACGAGGACTGCCGGACGTATGTCTGCCGTGTCTTCCTCATCTGAGCTGTCATCATCCTGTTGTAAATTAGAGTCAACGTATAAAACATTTTTGGTTCCATGTAGACCAGGCGAGGAAGGGGGGGTATCGTCACCCATCGAGGGAATTTGCAAGACCAACTCTATTTGGTCAATTTCGATACGCTGATTACGAAAATCGATGTTATACAGAGAAATTCGGTACCAGGAAGCCTCTGTTTCACGTTCAAACCTCGTTTTCGTCCAAACTTGAACGTTGAACGAAAGTTTGTAAATGAATCGATTTTTATCAATTTTGATGTGCTGATTTCAAAAAATTATTTTATAAATGTAAATTCAGTACCAGGAAGCCTCTATTTCATGTTCAAACCTCGTTTTCATCAAAATTTGAATGTTGAAAAAAAGTTTGTAAATTTTTTATTCTCATCAATTTCGATATACTGATTTCGAAGGTTGATCTCATACGGTGGAATTCTTTATGCACTTGTCTCTTTTTCATGCTAAAATCGTTTATTTATCGTTTTCAATATTTCTAGAGTAAAATCTGCTGCACACATAGATTTGCTTTAAAAGCTTAAAAAAGATTATGTCAAAAGGCTATATAATACGGCTAATAAACATTTAAAGTTGTTTTGAATAAACAGTTCAAAAACTTTCCCTTAAGTTTCAAAAATCTTCCAGAAACTTATTGAGCGGGCGTCATTGGCCTTGGTGACAGTTGTTGAAAAACCGTAAAGAAAGCATGTAAACTTCTCCAGGACCTCTATAGCATTTGGATGGGCTGGACATCTGTTCCAAGCCTTGCAAAAGTGCTCACGAATTCGTTGCGCTTTAACATTGCTTTTCAGAATGACTTTTTCCCTTTTTTTGGAAATCATGGACACATAATCGATGTCGGAGAATGCGTGAAGACCAACTATTGCTCGCCTTTTAATTGAAGACAATGTTGATAAGATAGACAGCATGAAGCAAGACCACTGAATAAATTTTCTGTATGACAATTTAAGTAGCGCAGTGAAAAAACTAACTAAGATCTTTCTGGAGAACGGCTATCCAGAGGATGTTATTTCAGTTTACATTAAGGAGAAGATAGGAAATTTCTCGGCTGAAGTAAAATTTGGTCCTCAACGGTCTATCTAAAACTACCCTGGATCGGTGACAGTTCCCTATGTTTTGAAAGCCAAATAAAACAGCCCATTGCAAATTGTTTCTTTGCAGTCAACCCACGTGTTGTTTATAGTACGAAAAAGGCCCTTCCGTCCATTCAAAATGACTGCGTTCCTGCCACACACAAAAGTTCCGTTGTATATGAATTTACGTGCCAGTGTGATTCTGGCAACGTAGGACGCATTACCCAAAGATTGGAGGATAGAATAGAACAACATGTTCCTGGTACCGAATTTCTCCGTATAACATCGATTTTCGTAATCAGCGTATCGAAATTGACCAAATAGAGTTGGTCTTGCAAATTCCCTCGATGGGTGACGATACCCCCCCTTCCTCGCCTGGTCTAATGTACTTATCCAAAAGATTAGAATAAAAAGTATCATCATTGTCTGGATTTCAAGGAAGGTCCTTCTTACGCTTGACAAAGCCGTATGCAGGTTCAGGGTCTGTAGGAAGATAAATAACCTCCCTATTTGAAGAGCAAAGAAAATGACCAAGGTTGTTATGGTCAACTTCCAATCGACCCACCACCCTAGTTCGTATATACTTCTCTGTGTCATAGGCATCCTTTGATACTTCCAGCTGAAAGGAAGGCTCACTTTTAGCAACATGACTTTCTGCTGTGACTTTCTGAATGCTCATGTGTGCTCCCCACAGGTAAAGTATTTCCTGATTGTAGGGAACAACCAAAATGTCTTCAGGGCATCTGCGACGAGGTAGAAATCTGTTGCCAGCATTGTTCAACCTCTCCTCCTCCTGAACTGGGTATGGAAAACCATACTTACATTTCCTGAGGGGCTTGTCATGAGAACTGGTGAAGCCCTTGTCCTTGCAACATCTGTGTACCTGTAGACGTCAAACAAAAGACTTTAGTGAATTAACAGTAGGGTTTAATTCGCTATCCCTGGGCATTTCAGCACAAACCATGTGGTCAGGGATTGTTTTTTCCTCGCACCACACAACCATATGGTTGTGAATGGCTCCCCTGGCCTGGAACTCCTTACGATCCCACCAGTCTATGACTTTTCCTAGTGGGTCATTAGAGTTGTTGATAACCTTCTCCTTGAACAATTTAAGCCTATTGCTGTATGCAGTCACAGTTTCAATTGAATACTCCCAGCTTGGATGGATATCCTGCAGTTCATACTCACTGTCAACGTCAATCATAGGCTGTACATGACATGGACCATTAATGATATGGTTCTGTATTTCAGGCCAGTTGTCGTTTTGTGTCAAAGTCACAAAGAAGGTCTGTTGTCCAAGTTTTCTGCTCAAAGCAAGCAGGTGCAACGTTTTACTGTTCCAGTAACTTCTTGAACCAGTTATTGTCGCTGGAACAATTTGTCCAAGTTTGTCATAGAACATTGACTCGTGTAGCTGTAAGCTAGTAAGTGCGTCTACTCTGTCGACACGCTTGGCCTTTCGAGCTTTTGCAATTTAGAAAAGCTTCATCTTAATCTGCCTGTCATACCAGTGGAAGGAGAAGCTTGGGTCCTTCCGCCATCTGGCATCTTTGTTCAGAAGCACATGCTTGAGGTATTCTCCAGCTTTCACACAAGTATCCTGCGACCAGCCCCCAATTCCGAAAGGAAACAGGTGTGGCCACAGTTTTGCCTCCAACTTTGGATCTGAGTAGTTGACCCTAGTAAGCTGCTTCCGATTGTGCAGACTTTTGTTCATTTGAGCGGCAATTGGATGCTGTATTCCTGCTTGATCAGCTCTTTCGTTCAAGAAATTGGGAATTCCACAGTCATCCAAGTTTGTAACAATACCACTAGATTTGATGTGCATATGACTGTCCACTGTCTTGTTGAAGTTTGCAGCAAAGTCTGTAGCCTTGTGCAAGTGTAGTACCTTGTCAGGGTCAAAACGATACAATGTGTCATAATTAGCATGAAATGACTGAAACAGTGGCTTATTGTTACGTAACTATACTAAAGCACGTATAATACGCAACTGCATTTCATTGGCAATTACATTTGTTTCACTTACAGATTCATCATGCTTAACCATGAATCCATACATACCGTAGTAGTGGGAGTCATATTTCGATCTGGTTATAACGTCACCTTGAAAGTGCTCCCAGACCTTAAACCTATCACTACGTGGCTTCACTATCTTTGATATGATACCGGCTAACGATATCTGGCCCTTTTCATAGGGAGATACCAAGTCCCTAAGAGGTTCAGGGACATACAGCTTACCTGTACCTGGGTCTGCAGCGTTGTATAACTCAATAGGCCCACTCTTACAGGTTCTACAAGATTCACCTTCCCCTGTTATTCTGATAGGCTAGCTCACCTATTGTATCATAAAGATCAAGTACTGGAGGTGTTTCATAGCCAAGTGGGTCAAAGGTGACATAATTGACATGATTTCGATGTTTCAAGTATGGTATAGGGCGACCACAGTTACATAAAATATGTACTTAAAGATTGACTGACTTGCCAGTTCCGAAGAGGCTCGGCCCATTCCTTTCAGCCTCCCAGTACAATCAGGAACATTGCAGAATTGCGGTCTATCACTTTTTCTTTGATCAGGTGGATCAAAGGAGACCCGCCTAGGTCTAATTGGCAATTTGCAAACTTTTGCTTTGGTTGGAAGTGAAATTGAAGAAGAAGGGTATAATTGAAGCCAAATCTTTCTAGCTTCCTGAAATAAATACCTCTTTGACTTCCCCTTCCCTTTCTCCCTCTCTTTTACTAATTCATAAGAATTAGCAAGGTCCAACTTCATACTAGCGGATAGTTTAGTACTACCTTTACTGCTATCCCTGAAAGGAAGAGGATTCGATATTTTCGCCCTGGCTCGTAGCTTTCGATTTATCTGCTCAGGATCTAGTGCCTCAGTCTCTACAACTGGGGTGGACGATTGATTATGAATGACATTTTCCTACTTATCCTGCTTAGTTTCGGTGGGCTTGTCATTATTGCTGGCAGTTTCAGTTGATGTTGATACCTTGCCTTCTGCCCCCCTAGTTAACTTATTCAGCTTGATTTTCAAGGCATTCACTGTAACCTTAGAATTTGGAAATAATTCCTGCCAGTGCTCAAGGACAATGTTCATTAATGCCCGCCCATCACCTTTTTCTTTCTTAGCTAAGGTGGTTTTCCTAATACTAAGCAGTGTTTCGGTCATGTCGACTGTCCACGTAATCTTAGGTTTTCCCATAGCTTAAGAGGGTTTCAAAGGGGGTAAATGAACTCCTGAAACAAAAGAGATAAATATTACTGATCGTTCAGGTGAAATGGAACAATACAATTCAAATGTTTCAGACATGGCTAAGACCAAAAGATATAACCAGAAGCAAATCTTCCAAACAACAGGAACAGTCCCTATTTTTGCACTGATATCAACACATGCCATATTGGTTTTGTTTACTCACAAGAAAGTTTAAGATGTCTACCTACTGGTAAATGCACACAAATATTGGGTATAATATTGAATGATTAATGTCACTTGAAATAAAAATTAGGAAAATCAGCAACCACTGGCAACAAATTTGAAACATCAATAATTGCACATATAAATACAAAAAGGGAATAAACAATGTCACTAGAAATGCCAGCTATAGATACCAATTTGATATTCAAATTGGCAAAATTCAAGGAACAAACCTCTACCAGAGGTTTAAATCTCTTCATATAAATAGCAAAGCAACTGAAGTACAAACATGTCTTCAATGTAACACTGTGATTGAATTAAGCACTGCAATTTGATGCAAAAATTACTTCAATTATTCAAATTTGATAATGCATATTTATTATCTACAGCCACTCATTAATAAAGGGAATATCAATATTTGAAAACATTTTGGGCATTTTGTTTCCTCCCAATGCTTTCATTGAACAAAAGGAAAACAAGAAAACACTTCAATTAAAAGAAATTTAAATAAAACTAAATTTCTTTATATCTAGCTCTTTCAGTTTCAATAATGACATACTGGTACAGTT